AAAGAAAGAACTAAAAGGAAACTTGGCTGCCAGAAACTTACAGATCTTGGGAGACACTGGAGCCATCTTCCCACAACCAGGCATCACATTCTTTATGGTAAGAGAGTCCAATCCAGTAAAAATATTTACTGGAGCTCATAAAATGCTGATTGGAAACAAAGACAAACACATTAATCAAACTTGAATCTATTCTGGGAATAATGTACTTTGAAGAAAGTGTCAGCATCAGATTTAGCTTTTTAATCATACAAACTGAAATAATTTTTAATGTCCAGTTTAGAAAGTATAGTCACATGCCTCATATTTCTTCCTTTTCTTCCTTATGTTATTTATTCCCTAATTTCCACAAATATTCATTTAAGGTATAGAAATAAATGCCACAAAATATCACTTCTTAAAGGAATAAGACATTAGAGGGAAGTAAGAGTTTTCATGGAACACCTCCTTCAAAGAAGATTAAATCAAATTTGATCCCACATCAACAGTATCTTGAGGATATATTTCATAGATATAGTCTACTTAATTTATACTCAGGACAGGTTCGTCATGCAGCTATAGAAATTTTTCACTTTTTCTTAAATTGGGTAATTTTTTGATCATACTCTCCGTACTTATCACACATTATATCCCAGAGTGATGACAAAAGATATAATTACAAAAGAAATTATAAATTTAATTAATGAACTAAAAATTATGAAGTTATTTTATTAGTCTTTGAATAAAAATAATGGCCTATTATTCGTTCTTTGAATTATCTCTAAAATGTTCCTTGTGCTTTATCTGGAATGTAACTTGATTTTTATTCCTATAATATAAATCTTTGAGAAATTTTATGTAGGTTTTATAATGATTGTTTCAAGATATAGCAAATTAGTAACTCATTAGTTCAAATAATAACAATCCACTTACTATAATTAAAGACAAACAAAGTATTCAGCTTACTTAGGTAGCATATTTCCCTAGGTCAAAGAAAAGGTAGGAAACCAGAATTAAATACATGCCAATTTATCTCCGTTTTCAATCTGAAGTAGACTGGAATTCTGAGAAACACAGAAATCACGACTCTCTTTCCAGGTTTTTAATTCACCAGAAAAGAAGTAGCAGTTGCAGTGGTACCCAATCCACCCTTTTGGGCAAGAACAACAGTTAGAGCCTAAGAGAAAAAAAAAAAAACAACACATGACTTATGACATTCAATTTTTTCAATGCTATTTACTCATTCAAAAATCATTTGTTATTTCTTCACTATTTTCCACAAATATTCTTTGAGAATCTACTACACATACTATAGTTCAGGGGCTATTAATGTGAACAAGTCAGACATAACCCTTTTTCCTAATAGAGATTATATTCGAGATATAGAGTCAGAACTATATAATTTCCAATCATTTATCTATTATATTTAATGATAATTTTGGTAAGTATACACAAGAATAAGTCAGTATGTTAAAACATTGGGTAGCGGAGTATAAATTGGAGGGTGGCTAAAGAAACTTTTTGAGGAAGTGCCCCCAAATTGAGCTCTGTTGTGTAAATAGGAATAAACTAGATTAAAGAGATATTTAAAGGGAAATATTTTAGCATATTTCCCGAGACAGAAAAGAATATAGCACAAATTGGAGAATTCTGATGTTTGGATATTTTATTTTCAAAATAGAGATAAATAAAACAATTAGCTTGAAGTCTAATACTACAGTTTACCAGTGATGGGTCTTGAACATTTACTATCCTCAGTGATAAAAGTCAAGACACATGGTAGGCACTCAAATCTTTGTCAAGTGAATGGTTCTGAAGTGTAGGGTGGAATGGTGGTTACTAGGAGCTGGAGAGTGGGGTAAATGAAGAGATGTTGGTCAAAGGGGACAAACTTCCAGTTAGAAGGTGAATAAGTTCTGGGGATCTAATGCACACAGTTATGATTATAGTTAGCAATACTGTATTATACACTGCAAGTTGCTAAAAAAGTAGATCTTGAATGCTCTCACCATAAAAAAAGAAATGGTAATCATGTGACATGATAGAGGTATTAGTAAATGTTATGGTAGTAATCATATTGCAACATATAAGTGTATCAAATCAACCTGTTGATTACTCTAAACTTACACAGCATTATATGTCAATAATATCTCAATACGGATGGAAAAAATGCAAAGGGGAAAAAGATAAATAAATATGATCACAGAAGATGGCGAGACAATTTGGAGACCATTTGCAAAAAATACCTTAAAAAATGGACTTTGAGCTGGCTTTCACTGGATAAGTAGGGTGTAAAATAACAGAAATCTGTGCACTATATTCTGAGACATGCAAGAAGCAGAAGCAAAGGTAAAGAGATATAAAAGTATGAGCTATGAGCAAACCAGCAGGTAATTAGGATTAACCATAGTATTTACTGTAACTTATATTTGTTATTTAAACATGAGCACTCATATAGGAAAAAAATGTCATTTCAGGCTAATATTTTCCTTATGACTTAAATATATAAATGATCCATGTTCAATGTAATTTAATGCTTTTTACATTAGAGAATAATGAAATGTTACTATCCTACAATTAGTAGGTAAACTTGCATTACTAAGTGTACTATTCCATTATGCTCTGTGTGAGAAAAACAAGAAACTGTCTATTTCATCCTCTACCAACACTAAGGTTTTCCAAAGTATGGAACCTACCTTTCTGGAGTTCTGTGATTGCATCTGGAGACAATGTTGGCTGAATACTGTGTTTAGGATATACTGTAAGAAATGATTAAAAATTTACTTCATTAGATACAAGCTTATGAAATAATAAAATACTACACATTAATAAAATGAAACCTTTGCATTAAATGGTTTCACCACAGTTATGGTCTTTATACAAACTTCCTAGAAAAACTTACAATCTTTCAACAAAATTCCCATAGTAGCCATCAAAAAAAGGCAGATTACTCCTAAGATCCCAGAAATCAAATTCCAGGGAGTGGTCTGAGAAGCTGTAGTGAAAGAGAGATACAGTGGTTATTTAAAGAACAAAGGCAGGAGCTGAAGATCTTAAAAGCAACATGGTGAGAGAGAATCTAAAACATTCTTTGATTTGATAACCCAATCATCTTGCCAATGAAACACTGGAAAATGAAAATATTCCCATCAGAACTCGCCCCAATACCCAAATTTTTATGTGGTATAATATATTCATTACTGAGATTATCTATAACTTTTCTCCTTTACCAGTCCTGTCCCCATAAAGTGGACTTACCATTTATTTCTTAATTCCACAAAGAAGCTTAGGGATCTGGAGTAAGAAGACATCAGCAGGCATCAGGTTGTGTTTTATGGGCTTACGTAACAGGTATTTATTTTCTCAACAAGAATCACAAGATAATATGATTCCCATTAAGTAGATAAGAAAACTTAAGGTCACTACATCAAAAACTAATGATGTATGGTGACTAACATAACAAAATAAAATAAAATTTAAAAAAAAGAAAACTTAAGGTCCATTAATAATGTTATTTTCTCCATACCAAAGCTAGTAAGTATCCAAGTCAGAAATCAAATGAAAGTTTGTCTACCCAGAGTCTTTTACTTAGCAAATTCTGCCATTGGCACAATAGTATACTTGGAAATGTGCCCTTCTATTCATCTTAGTGCATTCTCTACCTAAGAAATATCTGGCTGCTTGTGGCTTTGTAGAGGTTTTTTTTATAGGGAAGATAAGACATAGGAGCACTCCGGACCTGGTGTGATGTATGGGTAATACCTTGGGGACCTGAATTCTTTTCACAGTACATTAAATTATGATATATAAGCAACCATTTTTTACAAGAACATTATGCTTTTTCATACCAAAAATTACTGCTTATTGGCATTTACCCTAAAATAATTTAATGTTAGGAGATTTGGCATTAACATTAGCATACTCCCAAAGAGTCACTAACAGTCCAACGTGTCAAACTATTAATCTAGGTGATTTGGGGTGTCACAGCACAAATGGTAAATTTTTAAAAAACACTTGTAAGCATTGTCACTAATACTTGGCATTCTCTATTTACTTTGGTGCTGGCATTATGTTGTTCATAATTTAACCTGGTAAATTCAGTTTACATTCAGAGTTTAGAGCTATCCCCGTCAGAAGCCACTCTTTAAACCTGCTGGAAAATCTTCACAAAATCTTTTCTAAGTTACAGATAAAGAATCAGAAGTGGAAAGCGCTGATACATAGAAAGCCTAAAAATGTCTACTTTTTCCTATAAAACACTGCCCTGAAATTAGCCATATCCCTGAGATGCCTTTTCTGTTTCATTTCATTTTTTTAAATTTTATGACTCGGGCCTCACATACCTGCCATGAGAAATGATCCAGTATCGATGCCGACAAGGCACAATGTGTGCTTAATCAAGAAGGATGGTGTTGTGTTGGTTCACAGAGCTGAGCCGGAAGCTAAACAATCCAGAAGTCACGCCCATAAAGAAATTTAAAAGAAAAAAAGAGAAAAATTATTTATTTGAACAATGTTCTTGAACCTTCTATTGGTGAATGTATCATATGAACAAGAAGCAGTAAAGTCTCTAGCTTCTAAAATGTTCCAGGAACCACAACACAGGAAATTACCACAGTACATGTGTAATGCAAACCCTCTGACTATCATAAAAGAAAATGAGTGGGATTTTTTTTTTTAATATGTGAATAGCAAAGTCATCTTAAAACATCATTTGGAAAACAGGACATGTATGGTTTTCATCCTTTGAGTTTACTGGGAATCTAGGTAGATTTTTTTTATCCTGTTAAATTGTTATCCTGGGGGCACCTGGGTGGCTCAGTCGTTA